TGCTTTGAAATGGAGCAATTTGTTCAACCGTGGCTGCTCACGACTGGTTTGAAAAATCAAAATAATGAACTGTGCTGTGGACAAGGGGGCCTTGACGTGCCTGGTTGCACCAGAGGTTTGGTGGCTCGTGTCTGTCTGCAGCCTTCCACCTCTCCATGGACCCCAGCTGCCCTCACACCCTGCTCCTGGACAGAGATCTCACCCGAGGTCTGGGGAGCCTCCTGCTCCCAGGAGCAGCTCATCCCACCAGAGATGGTCCATCCCCACCCAGAACCATTTCCATGTCACCCATGGACTGTCCCTGTGGATGCTGGGGCTGCCTGAGAGCTGGCCTCTGCTTTGGCTGATCTCATTGTGCTTTTCACCTCCCTTGGGGCAGCTACAAGTGGCTCCAGGTTGGGTTTTCAAGGTTGGAATGCTGGATCACCACATGGAGCAATCCCACCATAGCAGGGGGAAAACAACCCAGGAAAGGCTGTGGCTCCAGCTTGGATCTCAGCACTCTCGTTTGGGAAAATCATCCCTGGGCAAGACCCTGAACCTCCTGGTTCAGCATCTGACCCACGTCCACATCCCCAGCAAGCAGAGCCTCCAGGGGTGCCACCAGACAAATCCCCAGGCCAATCATGCTGTGCTTACAGGGAAAACCAAACAATCTTCTCACTGCTGGGTCCCTCCTGCCAAATCTTCTCCGGTGCCACACTGGGAGCACTGGGCTTTCTCCCACTGACCCACCCAACCCCATCACTGCAGCAGCTGGGGTGAGTCCTGACCACAGTGCTGGGCACAGGCAGGAGAGGCTGCAGGAAAGTCCTGCAAGAATGGAGAGTTTTTTCTTTTTTCCCTCCAAATTTCCGAGGAAGATGCAGCAGGAGCAGGGGGGAAAGGGGGAAATGTGCCAAGCTAGAAAATAACAGAGAACATTTTGGTCCCTTCTCCATGGGAGAGTCTTGTGCTTGGTGTCTCTACGCTGGCCACAAGGAAGCCAAGCCAAGCCTGGTGTGTGTGGTGTGTCCTGTGGTGTGTCCTGTGGTGTGACCCTGGGCCACCACCTTCATCCTCATGTCCTCTGAGGGCATTTCTGCTCCCACACATTGGGCTGGAGACAAACCTGGAAAAGCCCTTCCAGAGATGCCTTGAGGCAGAAGAAGACACAGATCCAACAAGGGAAGAGAATCTTCTGATTTAACTTATTTAGTTCCTGGAGATGTGGTGACAATTCCCATTTCCACCACTCCAAGCCCATCCTTGGCATCACGTGTCCCCTTTCCTCCAGAGCAAAGCACCGAACCCACCCCCCATGATCCACACCCAGCCCCCAAAACCCACCAGAGGGGCAGGGGGTGGCTGGAGCAGCACAGCCCACACCCAACCACCTCTACCAGCCTTTCACAGCCACACCTCTGCTTCTGCCCCAACATCCCAGCGAGAGGGGACTGGGATTTACCACCCTCCTCCCGGAGCCATCCCATGGGCAGCCCCTGCACTCTCTACCTGAGAGCTGCTGCCTTTTGATTTTTTATTTTTTTTTTATTATCATTATTTTTGCAAGGAAAACGGGTTGCCCTGGAGCTGGGTCTCCATGGAAACTTGGGTTTTTCAGACACTCAATGGAAAACGCTGGCACGGAGACGCTTGTGCAGGAATACTGATTCAGCCCCAGCGTCTGTAACACTGACTGCATTTTAATCCCGCTCTGCTACCCGGAGAGCTAAAAATACCCTGCGAGCTGTCGCCTCCTGAACTCGAGTAAACAGCTTAAAGCAACACGCTGCTGCCAGAGCAGAAATTCCATGAATCAGCTAAAAAAACACGGATGGGGGGAGGTAACGGTGGGGTCACAGGCCTCGAGGAGCAGCAGCTTGGTGGGGAAGAGCAAATCCCCGCTCCAGGGATAGAGAAGGAGCAGCTGAAGGCAGCAGACAGGTCCTTGGGGCTTTGTTGCATCTCCAAGATGCCCTTTTCCCAGTGTAAAAGCAGGAAAACAAGGTTTTCCCTGGTCCCCAGCTGGCTGGGAGGAGCCCTGTGTTCCCTGCCATGCCAAGACGCGTGGCACTGCCATGAGCTGGCAAGGAGCCAGGTGTCCTCACCAAGGGGGCTGGGGACAATTGAGGGGGGGTAACCTTGCTGCCACACTGGCACCCTGGTTTTCCCTCTCCCTCCTGTCATCTCTCCAAGAAAAAGACATCGAGGGCCGGCAGAAGGGGCCCTGGGGCTGTGGGCAGTGCCACCCCCTCGCTGTGCCCGCAGCCCTGTGCCAGCCCAGCCTTCCTGGCAAATAAAACCCAACTCTCCCCTCCCAATTAGCTGGGACTGTCCTCAGCTGACTCCCAGAGCTGCTTTTTGCAGAATACACAAACTCTTCCTTCCTTCATTTATTTTTTTTTTTTTTTAAGAGACATTGCCCCGGCAGCTCAGCATTCCCCAGGAGAGAACACCAAGATGGGGAAACTGAGGCACGAGCCTGCTTGCTCAAGAGCTCACTGCAAGCTGGGAGTGAATCCAGGTTTCCCAGGTCTCCTCAGCTGTGCCAGGAGCTGGGATCAGGCATTGCCCTCCATCACCTCACCAAGGAAACTCTCCTACCCTGATTAGTGCTGCCTCCTAACTAAAAAGCTCTCAAAAGCCCCTGGCAAGGGCATGAACTCACATCCAAGTGGCTCCAGCAGCTGGATGGAGACTTGGGATTGATTTTTCTAGGGAAACTGCATTTATACATTTGTTTTTCTTCCAGCTGTGGGGAAAACAGGTGGCATTCCCAGGATTCTGCTTTAAACCTTCATTTCTACCAGGATCCAGAGAAGCAGGAAAAATCCCATTCCCAGCTCACAGTCAGATGATTTAGGGTGGGTGATAAATGGGGTTTTTGCAGTGGAAAATTCCCCCCTGCCCTGTGGGAAAAGCCTTTTCAGGGCTCAGCCATTCCCAGCACCTCTCCTAAGCCTCTCCCCAGCTTATCTGGCTTCTCAACACATCTTACAGTGCTGCAAAGCAGGGATGAGGGAAAAAAGAACATCTCAGGTCGGTTTTTATGGGCTCTAAGATCTCCATCCAGCAGGGATGGGATTAAGGCCACGGGCTCTGAGTAGCCAGAGCAGTAAAATAAATCTGTGCAAGGCAGGCATGGCCTGGCCAAAACCAGGCTGCAAGGCTTGTTCATTCCTTGATGATAAAGAAACTCTCCCATGATTAAAGAAACTCTGGGGCTTGAGGTATTTATTAGGCTGCATCTCGTTAGAAGAATGGGAACTGAGCACACTGAACCCCCCAGTCCTTCCCCTCCTGTGCCCCAACACTAAAACTGGGAGCCTGGAGCATCCCTGGGGAGGGGACACGGCCGAGTTCAGCAGCTGTAAATGTTCCTGGGATCAGGGGGGATTCATCCTCAGCACCTGAGCATGGAGCAGTGTTTGCCCGGTGAGCTGGGATGGAGCTCAGAGCTCCCTGGGCATGGGAACACCACTTGGGAGAAAGCCTGAACCAAAGTGGTTCCAGTGGTTAAAGTGTGGGGATGCTCTGGTGGGAATAGGGATGGTGGGAATTGTGTGGGATGAGGCTCTGGAGATGCTGGAGTGAGTCCAGAGAGGCCCCAGAGTTCTGAGCCCCTCTGCTCTGGAGCCAGGCTGGGAGGGCTCAGCCTGGAAAGTCTCCAGGGAGAACTTAGAGCGCTCCCAGGGTCTAAAGGAGCTCCAGGGAGCTGGAGAGAGCCTGGGGACAAGGACTGGGAAGGACAGGATGAGAGGGAATGGCCTCCCTCTGCCAGAGGGCAGGGATGGATGGGATACTGGGAAGGAATTGTTCCCTGGGAGGGTGGTGATGCCCTGGCACAGGTGCCCAGAGCAGCTGTGGCTGCCCCTGGATCTCTGGGAGTGCCCAAGGCCAGGCTGGATGGGGCTTGGGAGAGTGGAAGGTGTCCCTGCCATGACAGGGCTGGGACTGGAGGAGCTTCAAGGTCTCTTCCAACCCAAACAATTCCATAATTTTGTTCCATGAATGAAGGTTCCAGGAAGCTGAGGGAGGCTGGACTCGGGGGTCTCTGATCACACTGAGCTGGGGGAGGAGGCTGCACCTGATGCCCAGGTACATCCAGCACATGAGGCTGAGGCTCTGCAGGGGAAAGAGGGTTTTATAGGATCCCACTGATCCCAAACTGAACAGGGCAGCCCCTTGGATCCCATTCCTTCCCTTCACCATGCTCACTCCGAGGCTGTGGCCAGTGACACCAACTGCACCAGAGACTTGGGTGGGCTCAGGAGCTGCTCTGGGGTGGGCTCAGAACCCGTCCAGTGCCCCCAGCCCCA